GACAATTAATACACAAAAGGAGTCATAACTGATTAATTAACATAAACTTTTGTCAGATTGCTTAAAACATTGAATAGCCTGATTTTGTAAAGTAACATTGTTTTAAATTTTTCTGTTGTTTCTCCCGCTACTTTCTCCTCAGACGCGACGCTCACGCGGGTTGCCAGATGTAACAAGAAACAAACGCAACTGACAACGTTAGCCAACAAGCCTTACAAGTGTAAAATGATGATTTTGCTCATAGAGCTTTTTGGATAGATGGCGAGGGTAAAATCTGTGATCTCTGGCTCAGTTTGTTTGCGGCTTAAGTGGCTGCAATATGCTGTTTTTTTTTTAGCCAACTGGCAACCAGGGATGTCGAAATCCTATTGGTTAAACTGGCAGTGGGTGGAGTCACACAGACCAAAAACAAAAACAGACATTCCAACACAGAACACACAATGCAAATATGTGAACTCAGCATGTTTCCTAAATATCTGCAAACATATTATGGTATTTTTATGCTTTAGTACATCAACAAATGACATTTAGCACATTTAAATTTGAGGTGAATTATAAAATGTTTCTCTTTCGGTTTATACACTATGGCAGGAGGAGCAACGACAGACACCAAGAAGCTTTTATTTAACATAAATAAATATAAAAGTCCAAAATAGGGGAATAATGTGTTTCCAAGCGGAAAAGGTGTCCAAATAAACAGAGGATGACAATTTGTTCCCATATTTTGGACTTTTCTGTTTTATTTATGTTAAATGTAAGCCAATTATTACACATTTTTCACACAGTATAAAATGCTTTTGAAAATATAGCTGCCTTTATTTTGGAGGGGGGGCCTTCGCAAGTAGATTATCATATTAGGGGGTCTTGTCATGAAAAAGATAAACACTGGTGTAGTTAATCTCAATGAAACACTGCCTTATAAAACAATTTGAATATTATCGATTTACAAGGCCTCCATGATTTAAACTGTGTAAAATTAAAACATCTTCAAGGAAGACAAAACAAACTCATTCATTTTGCTACACCAGTCATGTTGATGATCATCACCGCATCAGTATGATGTAGCCTGGGGACGCTTAATGTATTACTGGAATGAGGCAGGGATTGCTGCGATATCCCAAAGTGTGACCGCTTGTCTGCATTGGTTTAGATAAATCCACGTGGCAGTGAGATAGCCGAGCAAAGGTATGCCGTGACAGGGCATAAATAGAAAACCAGCTAAAGATGCTGGTATCCTCAGGTAGGGCCAAAGGCCATGACTTAACCCACCGAAAGACAGTCTATTGTCTGAAGCCGCAGGGGTAGGAGCAGAGTCTCTTAACCTCCCCCTTGCTAAAAGACTAATTGACTCATACGTTCATTGCCTGTTTGTGTATTTGTGTTGGGCTCTGCTCAGGGTATTGAGTGAGATTACTGAAGAGCTGAGGTATTAACTCATGTCTCCTCAATATGCTTTCCAGTCTCCCAATGGATGGATTGATAACTCGCGACAGAGACAGCGCAGTTGCTGAAAGGTTTTGCGGACGATTAGCTGACATCCAAGTGTTGAACTGAATGGAGCGGCTGCTGCTAACTGGCACCAATGAATTCGCCTTTAAAGGGCGGTGGCGGACGCCGGCACTATTTTTTTCGAAACACTGACATGCTTTACTATTTTTCCTTTTACCACTTGCAGAGCTGGGTGCTTATTTGAATTATCAGGTCTTATATGACAAATTAGGTATGTATGTGTGGTGGTCTACCCCCTTAAAAGTGTGTGTGTGCCTGTAAATCTCAGCCTCCCTTCACTTCAGTCTCTAAGCCTGCTGGCATTTGGTGCACAATGATCTAAAACAACTGTGACCCAACTGGTCATTTGATTCCAGGAATCCCTGTTTCATTCGAGATGATCTGACTTAACTCTACTGTTTCGCAACAGCTGATTAATATGCAGATAAATATATGCATGCACAAAAGTCTGGCTCGTTTCTGGGTTGTGTTGCTGAATTATTGTGGTTATTTCACAGCTATTTTAATCTTCCTAAATGTTGCGTGTATGTAACAGGATTTAAAATGTTACAGGCAACCTCCGATTTCATTATCGCTCACATTTTATCTGTCTGTCGACATTTTTTTTTATGCACAGTCCTGCAAGTGAGGCTGTACATAACCCAGCTGCCACACTTATGAAGCGTCCCAGAATAGCCCTCAACTGGCCTGCTATATCTAACCAAAGTGCAAGAAAGTTGCCGTCATCAATGAAACACTCAATGCTTTGCCAAAAGATAGCTGCAGTTCCATCAACGACAATCATTTGTAGCTATTCCACTAAATTGCTGTAATAGCAGCAACAGGTTTCAAAGTTGTTCTTTGTAAATTCTTCATTTTGCTGAACGATTTCTTGCTCAAACAATGAGCAGAGCAACAGTGCTCAGTGTCTTTAACAAAAGGCATTGTCTATTGCTCTTTGTCAGGAATGTCAGCCTTTGGCATGAGGCAGGGATGGAGTATCTTGTCTATATTGGGACACTATGAGCCCCCTCCCCTATTGGTCCACACTCTTTACTCCTTTTCCACATACAAGGACACTGATCTCAAGGTCAGATCCACTGGGGCCGGTGTGTAAAAAGAGGCGCTCCGCTCCAACACACTCAATTACTGCACTGACACCATAGTGGAAAAGTAGCAGCGGCTGCCTGCATAATAAGCTGATTTTAGGCCTGTTATTTTAGCACTTTGTCTGGAAAGTTCTGCACAATGCCTGCTGTTTCATATATCAAAAATGTGTTTTGGCAGTGAAGTGGCATGGATGTGTGAATGAATTATTATATGAGAAGCCAATTTTTTCAAAATATTTCACACTGATCTTATGCTTAAAAAATTGCCTACTTAATGCAGCCTTGTTGGCTGAATCATATCATATTAAATAATATTTTTCACAAATAAAACCAGTTTAGCTGTACCAAATGCAGCATAAACCCTTACAAATAAATAATTTACAATAATATTTATATATGATATTTAATATCATTGATAATTTATTGTTATATTCTATATTTTTTCCCAAAATTTTTATACCACTTTTATGACAGATTTATAGACAGATTTGGAGTTACTGTATTTAATTTACTACTACTCTGTCAGAAAATTGTGCTCGTTTCCATGGTGGAAAGAAAATCCCTCTCAATTATGTTGCTATTATCATTAAACCAGTGGATCTTGGTTTATATTGGCATGTATTTTTAGCTTCCCATATCATGTCAAGCACAAGGGACCCTTCAGTAATTTCATCTAGGGTGGCATTTACTGTGGCCACACACACACACACACAATGCCTCCCTCCACTGGCGTTTACAACAAAGGATTCCGCAAACAAGCAATTAGAGTAAGGGAGAAGACCGAACACATGGCCATTATGTTCACCTAATACTTGTACTGTATGTTGAGGAGAGAATTGTTGACGAGTTATTGAAGAGATGTTAAAGAGCCAACGTTAAGGGTGTTGCTTGTTGCCGCTGAGTGGATCTCTGTAACCTTTATCCAAGCAGGGACCAGGGGGAATTTACAGTGACCACAGCCGCTTAGATGATTGTCGTGTTGAAACCAAAATATAACTTGATATAATATAAACTTTATAAAAATATAAACTTTAAGGAGAAACATGTTCATTCTTTATTATTACTGCATTCATTAAAAACTTGGGTGTTAAGTTGGAGAATAATTGCACACATTTGTTATGGTAACAGCGGATCTGAAAAATGTCACCATTTTCACTAAACATAATTTTGAAATCCGTTTGATTTTTTTTAAAGAAAATAGAAATGACAGAAAGAAAATATAAATAAAATAGAAATGACAGTGTTCAAAGGAAAAGTAACTCACTAATTGCTTTCATAAATTACTCAACTTTTTACATAACAGGTATTAATTTTGAAGTGAGAAATTTGATTAAAATGTAAGTTAAAAACATGAAATCTGTAGCAAAATTAATGCTCCATTATGAAAAAATAAATAAATAAAAATAAAATGTGCATTTCCACTTACCAAAACATCTCAATATATATTTTTAATTGTTGTTAATATGTTTGTTTGTATTGCTGTAGTCTTATGATTGCTTTTTTTTTTTTCAAAAAGCAGAAAAAAATAATTATTTAAAATCAGTTCTGTAACTATACTGATTGATGAAAATATAAATGTAACTAGATTTTTGTAAAATAAATAAAAATAAAATGTGCATTTCCACTTACCAAAACATCTCAATATATATTTTTAATTGTTGTTAATATGTTTGTTTGTATTGCTGTAGTCTTATGATTGCTTTTTTTTTTTCAAAAAGCAGAAAAAAATAATTATTTAAAATCAGTTCTGTAACTATACTGATTGATGAAAATATAAATGTAACTAGATTTTTGTAAAAAAAAAAAAAAAAATACTATCACACAATCACAATCAGTGCCCTCCAAGCCTGCAAAATAAAATCCTGCTTATAAAAATACCAAAGCTTGGGTTTGGGTTAAGATAAAAATGTGGCTTGCCCTTTTGTGTCAGTTTGGGCACACAGTAAGCACCAATAGGCTCTGGAGGTGACACATGATCATTTTTGTGACCCTGATCTTGGAGGAGATGATAAAAGGAGTTTGCCCACTCCACCCATTCAGTCTGTGTTAAGGTCAGTTAGCAAATTATGACTGGACACCTTAACTCATTTCATTTGCTTGATCGTTTGTTTATAATACTACAATAATACTATAACTCATAAAATGCCATCAAAACAGTTTCTTAAAACTAAAATCGAATTTTCTGTCAACAATGCAATGCTGTGTTTTATATAACATAACTTACCACCTGGAATATACATTTAAACATTGTAATTGAGATTATTCCTGCAATGTTTACTACAAGTTTGTGTTTTGTATTTATTTTTTGTCAACATAATATAATATTTTTAATTTTCTATTTTTGTATTATTTCATTTTTAAGTGTAAACTAAAATATTTGTCTTCTTTTAAGGTTATCTGGAAAGTTTTGCCTTCAGCAAGTAAGCTTGAGCGGTGGATTTATCATCATGTCCAGATGGTTGGATATGAAAGACTTTGGAGAAGCTGCTCTGTTTCTGCGCAAATCCGACCTGGAGCTGCTGGCAGCGCAAACTGTGGCGTTTGATGGTGCTTGAGATACATTTTCAACCGACTTCAACAAATGTTTTACGGCGGATACAAACACTTCGATTCTCTTTGAAATACTCGCCATCTTGTTTACGCCGGCTTTTTGGTGTTCGTAATTGCATGTTAGGTTCTTAACTTGTAATGTTGAAAAGGGCATATTGAGGTAAATTTGGCATTGAATGATTGGATTTCTAATAAACAAACCAACGAAAACCGTTGTCGGCGCCTGGATATTGATCTGACAGCCTCCCTTGTGCGCAGGAAAGAAACGCGCTTGGATACCGGATGAAAAGGACGCGTACATTGAGGTGGAAATCAGGGAGATTGATGGTGACAAAGTCATGGTTGAGACCAAGGACGGGAAGGTAACACTTTTTAGTGAAATTAAATGAATCATGTCAAACAATATAAGAACATCCTAATTTAACGATTTGTGGATATGTCAAAATAAGCGAACTTTTGCTTCATTATTAATAGTGCTTCTGAATGGTTTAGATCTCAGTTAATAAAATAAAATGATAATTATGATTTTGCAATAAGCTAATGGCGATTGCGGTATTTTAATAAATAAATATAGGCTACGAACATGAAACATATATTTTACATGTAAATTAGTTTAAATATTTTTAAATAGCTAAGAAAAACGATGTAAAAGACGAACACTGCGTAACATTTAATTATAGGCCTTAGTAGTAGTAGCCTAGTAAGTAAGTAGGCTAGTATTAATCTACAATCCAAGCTAGCTATTTTTTAAACGATGGACTAACTTTAGTTAACTACCATGGTAGTCGACAATGTAGCTTGTCTTTAAGTTTTCATAGTCCACTCTCTATCTTACCGGTTCGATGATCTTCTGATCAATGTTTTGTTTTTTTCTGAGCTTCCAGCCATTTGTTCACTTTTACCATATTCAGCACGTTTACACACTTTTAAATAGTTCCTTCTGCTGAGGCGATTTGTCGTAGTAGTAACCGTTTTAAGTCGCCAGATGGCGCCACTAACTATTTTTAAGTACACTAGAATGAAAAGACAAGGACGGCGGAGTGCTATGAAAGTAGTGCTGGTTTGTTGACACGAGCGACTGTGATCCAGTTTAGCGGTCATTTAAAAATAATATAACAAATATTTGATAGCTCAGTGCACAATTGACCAATAAGAATCAAATATTCCCTTTAATAATGGATCATATTAATTTTTTCCCCTGTCCCATTTTATCTATAACCCTGCTCTGACCCTACTTAATTCCTGCAGTGTTTAACTGTGAAGGAGGATGACATTCAACAGATGAACCCTCCGAAGTTTGACATGATAGAGGACATGGCCATGCTCACACACCTGAATGAAGCTTCGGTGCTCTATAATCTACGGAGGCGCTACAGCAGTTGGATGATCTATGTTGGTACCATCACATCACAACAACTCAAAGCAAAGAAAAGATCTGCCCTTTCTCACTAATCTTTGATGCCACAAATAACTTGACCGCAGCGTTAAACATAGAGGGGCGGCGCTATTCAAAGAACTTTACAGTCACAGTAATGAATTTAACACTTGCATTTGCCAAGGGACAAATACAAGTCAACTCCCTAGAGGCATGTCCTTTACAACTGACACAGTCAAAGTACTTCATAAAGTAATCTAAGGGAAGTTATGTTTTCCTTAAGAGCATTTAAACATTGTATACATGGGAAAACTAAAATATGAAAGTCCATATATAAAGTTATTAGTAAAATTATCATAGGAAAAAGTCACATTGTGAGATATAACAGCACACTCATATGGCAATTTGTAAGTATTATGTTATGGCAAATTAGTGGCTAATTCGTCAAATTTTTTTACAATCTCATTCATGTGTTTTTGTACGATCAGCTTGCACCCCACTGATGGTTAGGTTTAAGGTTGAACCTTCTTGCTTTATTCTGAAAATGTTAAATTTTTGTATGAACCAAATTGTATGAATTTACGCAAAACACCTCATAAAATAGATATTTTATAATTTAAAAGACACATTATGAGAAATAAAGTTAAAGTAGGGGCCTTCAACCCTAGAGATCTGTGGCGGTTCTGCAGGGCATTTACAAATTATGATTTGGGTATGATTAGTTTGGATTTTAAACAAATGTGTGTGTGTGTGTGTGTGTGTGTGTGTGTATATATATATATATATATATATATATATATATATAAACGATATTAAGCTAATTTTAACCAAGCTGAAGCCAAAATTCAGCTAGAAATATCATTGCCACTTCGACTTTAAATAGAAATAAGAGTACATAATTTGTACATATGACCAGCGAATATTTTTTGGCTTTGTAATTTAAGCATCATATCAAATTATGTATATACTGTACATTAGTACTTGTTATTATCGGCCAGGCTTAAAATACAACCCTCTGCTTCATCTCTATATCCAACAAGTCCTCTGGCCTAAAGAATTGTGTAATTTATCCTGACTGGATACAATACCGGAGATTAATTTTGTCAAATCTTCTCATGGCAGACATATTCTGGGCTCTTCTGTGTGACTGTGAACCCATATAAATGGCTTCCCGTCTACACGGCCCCTGTAGTGGCTGCCTACAAAGGCAAACGCCGCTCCAAGGCTCCACCTCACATCTATTCCATCGTTGACAATGCCTACAATGAAATGTTGCGCAGTAAGTATTACATTAAAGTATTGCTTGTCTCTGCCCTCTACAGTAACTTACTGGAGGGATCATTTCACACTTCAGAAAGGCCCTTTATGACCTGAAACAAATGTGTTATTGTTTACCCCCACAGATCGTGAGAATCAGTCCATGCTAATCACGTAAGTTTTGACATACCTGTACACATTCTGTATTAGAGCGAGACCAGAGATTATTTTACTATAGGGAGATGAGAGGGTCTGTATTACTTACTATTGGAGAAAGCGTAACGGCTAACTTGGATCACGTGTGCCTTAATAACCAATCACATTACAGCCTTGACGTCATTGAACTTCAGTCAGAGTTGTGCGACACTCAGTCGCCGTTTGCGGATACCATAGGAATGAATGAGAAGTGCCGTAAACTGAATCCCACCTGTCGCAAAAAGTCAGTGACTCCTTTTATAAAGCAGAATTTCTTTCGTGGTAAACTCTAAAAATAGTTAAATCCAAAAGTATTGTTTAGTATAAAACGTTGAAGATTAGCAGATAGGCTTTCGATTCATTAAATGATAAGCCGTTTCCTCTAAAAAGCTGTTTATTCAGCGTTGTGAAGCCTCTTCTCCATTGACATCCATTAAAAAATGGCCTCTGGTCTCCTTTCCTATGTACTGCCAGACCGGAAGAGTTAGCTTTAGCCGTTACGCTTTTTCGGCTAATGGTTGCAGGTTTGCCTTCTAGGGGCTTTGGCGAGACATTTTCAGTGTGGAGAAAAAAATTCAGCCACTGAGAATGTCATTTTTCAGATTACATGTCCAACTTTTGATTTTTGTTTCTTTAAAGAAGATTTTTTGCACTGTTTTTTATAATGTTCTTTGCTGTGGTATTTTTCTTTATTTTTTATTTTTCAAATGTCTTATCATTCAATAATTTCTTGATACTCATAGCGGAAAATCTGGTGCTGGCAAAACAGTAAACACGAAACGTGTAATTCAGTATTTTGCCATAGTAGCGGCTCTGGGTGAGGCACCGACTAAAAAAGGAGTAAGACACAAGCTCTCTCGGTTTCCCTCAAATCATCTCCCTCTTCTTTTTCAATCAGCCTTTTTTTTCACATTGGCAAGTGTTTGCCATTTTCATTTTGAAGTCGCTCCTCATCTAGGTGTCCGGCACATTTTTACAGTGAAATTACTTCTATGTTTTGTGACAAAGTTAACTGTTATGGACATCCAGACTGAGGTTTGACTATCCCTTCCATTTGCATATATCTTTTGGCTAATTTTCACAAATGTTTTTGTGGGGTGAACCTGACTCCATGTGTCTTCCATAGCTTAACCCCAGCACATCATCTCCTGCCTTTTTCTTCCTTGTTCTTGAAGTTTTTCTGTGAAACAAATTTGTGATTAACATTTAAGCTTTTATTTTTCTGTTTCAAGCAGGCCCAACCTCTTTCAATTTCCTTGATTTCTGCTTTTTGTCGTGACTTTTTAAATCCATTATTCACAGAATAATTTTTTGCTCTGATTATAATAGGGTGTGATTGTTAAATACTTTGATGTATTTGATGTGAGCTAACAAAAGTTTACCCCATTTTTCATTCTTAATCCATGTTTGTCTATGAATTAGCATTTTCAGTTCTAATACAAATTATTTTTTAATCTATATTTTAACCATTTTGATGACAGATTGTTGACTAGCATAATATAATACTTTTTTAAATTTGTAAAAAAAACAAAACTTGCATTATATTGCATTCACATTAAATAATCAGGCTATTAAATGTAGAATGAAATAATAACAATAAAATATAACGACAGAAGATGAGAAATATGTGCTCTTTTTCAAAACAATTAAATTTGTTGTTGTTTTATGTTTTAAGGCCCCTGCCACTAAAACAGGGAAAAACTTGCATTATATTGCATTCACATTAAATAATCAGGCTATTAAATGTAGAATGAAATAATAACAATAAAATATAATGACAGAAGATGAGAAATATGTGCTCTTTTTCAAAACAATTTAATTTGTTGTTGTTTTATGTTTTAAGGCCCCTGCCACTAAAACAGGGGTGAGTATATCTTCACAAGTGGGGACATACTGCATAAACTGCAACAAATAAAGCTCAAAAACGTATCAATTATAAAATTATGTTTCTCAGGGTACTTTAGAAGACCAGATTCTTGAAGCTAATCCTGCAATGGAGGCTTTTGGAAATGCCAAGACACTGAGGAATGACAACTCGTCCCGTTTTGTGAGTATATGACACTATATAGACCAAAGTTGTAGTTTTTGGGTCTAAATTCCATTTACTTACAAGTAAAGACATGTTACCATGCTGTAAAATTTAACTATTAAGCATTGTTGATTCAACCATGGCATATTTCCGTAAATCCCTCTATAGGGTAAGTTCATCAGGATCCATTTTGGACCAACGGGGAAACTGGCTTCCGCTGACATTGATATATGTAAGTAAATGATGACCCTCCAGTTCATGTCATTCCAAAATGTATAAACTGACAGTGCAGTGATTTTTCAAATTATTTATCTAGATCTTCTGGAAAAATCCAGAGTGATATTTCAGCAGCCTGGAGAGCGTAGTTACCACATATACTACCAGATCATGTCACAAAAGAAGCCTGAACTTCTTGGTAAGATAAATGCTACAATTATAATTTACAAATACAACAATATTTTATTGCCATATTATTAATACATTTATTCTTTACTTGTGGATTTCAGACATGCTTCTGGTCTCTTCAAACCCCTATGACTACCATTTTTGCTCCCAAGGTGTGACAACGGTGGAGAATATGGATGACAGGCAGGAGCTTATGGCTACTGATGTAAGCTTTAAAAAAAAAAAAACTACAAAATCATGCTCTTGCCCATCCGGCATGCCATGGATATCCTTGGCTTCACTCCAGAAGAAATCTCTCATCACCTCTAAAACCAAATGAAAAAAAACAAAACTACAAAATCATGCTCTTGCCCATCCGGCATGCCATGGATATCCTTGGCTTCACTCCAGAAGAAAAGTACGGCTGCTATAAAATAGTAGGGGCTATCATGCACTTCGGGAACATGAAATTCAAACAGAAGCAGAGGGAAGAGCAGGCAGAGGCCGATGGCACTGAAAGTGAGCATAAATCTAGAATCTAGTTAGTCATTATTACAGTATTACAGTTAAAGATGGTCCAAAGCTTAAATGAAATAATCTTTCCAGGTGCTGATAAGGTCTCTTACCTGATGGGTGTTAGCTCAGCAGACCTTATAAAGGGTCTTCTGCACCCTAGAGTGAAGGTGGGCAACGAGTATGTGGCTAAAGGACAGAATGTCGAACAGGTGAGAAGTGTTCCCAAATTTCTTCCTCATTGGATGTATGTCTATAGCTACAAAAACAGAATTATTTTGCTATGGCAATAATAATGCATGTTGAAACCACTGACATTTATTGTTGATCTACTAAGATACAAGGAATAAAGCAGCCTGAGAAATCAGCCTGGTATCCAGGCAACTTTTGCAATCCATGTGAGTGACAGCTGTGATCTTCATGTGCTCCACACACATTGTGTGGCTCCACCAGGTTAACTTTGCAGTGGGAGCTCTGGCCAAAGCCACTTATGACCGCATGTTCAAGTGGTTGGTGGGGCGTATAAATAGGACGCTCTACACTGTTCTGCCACGCCAGTTCTTTATCGGAGTGCTGGACATCGCCGGCTTTGAGATCTTTGAGGTGAGTGACTCTCGAAATTCCACACCGCACTTATCTAGATTTCCGTCGGCATTCACACTTGTGCATCTGTCATGTGGATTCTCTCAACAGCTCAACAGCTTCGAGCAGCTCTGCATCAACTTCACCAATGAGAAACTGCAACAGTTTTTCAACCACCACATGTTCATCCTGGAACAAGAGGAGTACAAAAGGGAGGGCATTGAGTGGACCTTTATCGACTTTGGGCTTGACCTCCAGGCCTGCATTAACCTCATTGAAAAGGTTTTTTTTTTGTATTTAAAACAATGAGATGAAATACAGTAACAATTAAAGGAAAATGCCTTCTGAGCTGTTTTCTCTTTGTTAGCCCTTAGGAATCATGTCCATCCTTGAAGAGGAGTGCATGTTCCCTAAAGCTACTGACAACAGCTTCAAGGCAAAGCTGTTTGACAATCACCCTGGCAAATCTGCCAATTTCCAAAAGCCAAGGCCTGACAAGAAAAGAAAGTATGAGGCTCATTTTGAGCTAGTGCACTGTGCAGGAGTGGTGAGTTTCTACCAGTAATAAAGCTCCAATAAGACTAAATTTAAAGGTCACTTAGGCAGCACTTAATATTACAAGTATTTATTATGCATTTTAGATTATTCTTGGTGCTTTTTGTACTGAAGCTGGTCTTCCATTCTGGCAAGATGGAAAGTGCCCTCTAAAATGTAGATATTGTTAGCTATGATATCATTTTAATGTAGATATATTGAATATTTTTATCTGAATTTTATCTGAATCTGAAACAATGACCCCCTGAATGAAATGGTGGTAGCTTGTTTCCAGAAATCAGCCAACAAGCTTCTAGGTAGTCTATATGAGAATTATGTTAGCTCTGACTCGGGTAAATATACCCCACTGTCTACCTGAAATATGCCACAATTCTACACAATTCTACACAATTCTCACATAAAATACTCCTAAATACAACTTTTTCCTTTTAGCCTCTGACACAAAAACAGGCGGCAAGGAAAAGAGGAAAAAGGCTGCTTCCTTCCAAACAGTGTCACAGCTACACAAGGTAGGAATATAACCAGACATCACTGCACTTGGTGCAAATTAGTTCGTAACAACACATGGTCAGATATTCATGGTCATTAAAACAAGAAAATCAAAACTCTTCAGTACTGAGAGGGAGGCAGTTAAGACTTGCAGTGATGTTTAGAGAAATGACACATGAACATCACTTTAAGTCTGTGCTGGCTCCTGTTCTGTCTGTGTCCACAAAGAGCATCAACAACTCAGGGTAAGTCTAGGAACACATCTGACAATGTTTTGGAGAAGGACACTTTTGCATATGTTATTATTGATTGCATTTGCTTTGTGCAGTGTAAAAGGTTAAGAACTTCTGTACAACAATGTTTCTATTTCTCCAACTGCAGGAGAATCTAAACAAGCTGATGACAAACTTGCGGAGCACTCAGCCCCATTTTGTGCGCTGCATTATCCCCAATGAGACCAAAACACCAGGTGTTGTAACCAATGAGTGCTTCAACACATCCAAACCGACAGGATTATGATGGGAATCACTATTTTTGAGCATCAAACAATTTTGCAGCTTAGTTTTACACTGAAACAACAACCTGAAAGAGTATCTAAGTTGCAAAACCTCAAAACATTTTCATCTTTTTGAAGGTATCATGGATGCCTACCAGGTGCTGCACCAGTTGCGCTGTAACGGAGTCCTGGAGGGCATTCACATTTGCAGGAAGGGATTTCCTAACAGAATTCTTTATGCCGAATTCAAACAATGGTGAGAAGAGCTACTATTGACTCACCTTGTGTACTCTTTCTTGAGAAAATCAAAAAATGCACAGTGAATTACAATAAAATCTTGACATTACTTTTAGAGAGTATAATTTCCCTGTGTGAACATGTTTTGATCAATGCAATGATTTGCTGTTCACTAAAAAAATTGAGGCTGAATTTTAAAGGCAACAACGCGGTTAAAAGTTAAACTGTGTTATTTCTGGGGTGCTAGGGCCACTAAATTTTTTTTTCAAAATCTCTTACCACCCTTCGGCGGAGCCAGAATTTGGATAATATTGTTTAAACAAATTATTTATGTTTGATTATTTGATTCAGTTATTTTCCGAAATATTCTAAAAAAACATCACAGAGCCACAGGTGTCTTACATTTTTTATGGAAATTAATGAATGCATAACTGACTTAAAGCTGTTTATTCGCAATAAACTGTGACATTTTGAGTATTTCAACATAATACAATTGCTCACTTCATCTTTAACCTTCAGTGGCTTGTGAGAAGTCAGCTTGATGATAAGCCAGTTGTTAAATAGTACAAATTTCTGTACATCAGTTAAATCTGGAAAAACTATGTTTGCAGATGATAATGATAAAAAATTGTGAATAAAAATAAACAATAAGGATGTCTATATTCCTCCTTTTCACAGGTATCGCATTCTGAATCCTCACGCAATCCCTGATGACAAGTTTGTTGACAGCAGGAAGGCTGCAGAGAAACTTCTGGCTTCACTGGATATCATCAGTATAGATTTGGACATACTAAGGCAAGTCAGACTTCAGCCAGTAAAAGGTTGTTGCTTTCAGCCTCAAGCAATGGGACATCGATCACAGGTTAACTCTGTACACAAGACAAAATGGGCTAAAACAACCTGTCTGTGTCTCTGCATAACAGGTGTTCTTTAAAGCTGGTCTGTTGGGACACCTGGAGGAGATGAGGGATGAGCGTCTGGCTAAAGTTCTCACTCTACTGCAGGCCGCCAGCCGTGGCAAGATCATGAGAATGGAGCTGAAGAAGATGATGGAGAGGAAGTAATACATGATTCTATTAAAAAAAAAAATTCTAAAATTAAAATACAGTGGCCCCAAGCATATTTGGATATTTAAGTCACACTTAAAAATGAATACAAGTAATTGCATTAGATAACATTTCCAACCAGGTTCCACTTATTTTAAAGAAAGATATTTCACAACAAATGTCTTTCAGATAGTTAGTGGAACATCCATCCCCCCAAAAATTACTTTGACACTTTGAGTTATTCCTGAAAAAAGCATAATTTGCTTAAATATGTCACTTGGTTTTATAGTGTCATATTTAATGCAAAATTGAAAGAAATGTATATATTGTAAGTGTGGTTTAAGTGGTAAAATACATTTTGGGGTCACTGCATATTGATTTAGAGATTTTCTGAATATAAAATATGAAGTTACATATTCAGACTTAAGGTTCAGTCGCATTAACAAAATTTCACGAGCAAAAAGGTCTGAAGCACATCTCACACGGACATCACTTTCAAACCAAGCATCTTTCTGAATTCACATGACCAACTAGAACCTGATGCCAAATCTGCATATTGGAAATCTTTCGCCCTACCACGAAATTCCTGGTCATGTGGATTCCTATTGAAATTACTCTATTTTGACTATGACAATTCACCAAACAACCATAAATGCGAACACAGTTTTAACCTACTAATAGCTCTTACATGGTTTCAATCCACTTGAATGGAGAAAAGGGCTTCCATATGCTTATATTCTCCATATTCTTGATGCCGTCCCACACAAATATTCACAAACTATACTGATATCCAACAGGTTTACTTCTAATAAAGTTAGCAACAAGCTGTTGTCACATGATATCTCTCAACCCTCAACATATGAGAGGCATTTTGGGGCCATGTGGATGGAGTGTGTGAGGTGTGTGTCTTCAGACATGCATTTGTCCATGTGTGCATGTGTGGCCGAAACCCTTCATATGCTCCGACACTCTCTGTGAAACGCGAGGTTCTCCATGCCCATATCCATAACCTCCACCCTTCCCCTTATTAGACAATGCAGGCGGTGTCCTTAAAGCCCAGAAGCCCAGTGGGTCACATGACAGCTGCTCACCCCACTCCCCACTAAAAATACAGGCCAGCTCCCTGCTCAAAGGCCTGTTTTGCCAAGGCGCCTGTTTCTCTAAAGGACCACATTGAAAGCATATCTGCAGACTGGCAAAGGATTAAAGCCGCTGGTTCACAGAAGGCCTCAGTTTCTTAATAAATATTTGACACTTCACCTTTTGGGTGGCCTGGAGCACAGATGCATGGTAGCTATTTGATCAGACTGAATTCTCTGCCGTCATCCGCTAACATATAACCACAGTACTGTGAAAGCAAGTGCATGACATCTGAAAGTCGCCCCAGTAATAGACTAACTAAAAGGAGCCTCGTTTCATGCA